ATCAGGTTTGCCTGACTTGGATGGGGCCGGGGGTTGGTTTCTGTTTTTTTTTTTTTATTTCCATGTATTAACCCTAGTTTTAGTACTTTTATTGATGAGTCCTGGTCACGAGTAGATTCAACCCATAACTAAACAAATTTGGTGACAATTTGGTCTCTGATGGGATATACAAAATCACTATTTGGTTTATAATGGGGTATGGTTTTTGGGGTGGAAATGGTCTATGATGGGGTCTTAGGTTTTATTTCACGGCCGCACACCCCTACCAAACTGAAAGGCCAGTGGCCCACGGGATTACTTTATACCGACACTAAATCTCATAAAGAAAAGAGACATGTTTAACGACATTTTAAATGCATAACCAAGTGAGTATAAGTTTCCCACATTCCTCTGTACACCCTTCTGTAACAAAGATAAGTAAATAAATGAATGTTATTAGAAAACATCAGTCATGTCTCTTTTACTATCGGTAAATTCATACATGCACATTCAATATATTTATAGAGTGTTTCTGTCTGTTTTAGGTTTAAAGCGCAGTGGTCGTCGTGCAGGGCGTGTTCGAATTTCATGTAAATAAACAATGTATTTTACACGCGTTGTGTACGTCGCTTTGGGTCCCATATCGAACAGGACGCGGCACGACGACTGCCGCCCTTTAAACTGAAGTTTGTTTGGAGTCAGTCAAAGGACGATGGTTCGTCGCGTCGCGCCCTGATCGCCATGGGACTCATAGCGACGTGTACAACGCGTGTAAAATGCATTGTTTATTTACATTAAATTCAAACACGCGCTGCGTGACGACCACCGCCCTTTAAGCATAAACATTTAAAGCGGGAGGGTCGTCACCTGCGCACGCGCGGGAATTGAGTCCCAAGCGACGATAACAACACACGCTAAAAACGCAAAGGCTCAGGGTAGACGCTTGTTTGTAAACAATGACACGCTGTGACCATCGGACGCATGCGCAGGTGACGACTCTCTGCTTTAATTGTAGAAGCAATCTATTTAGTGTTACTTTGTCTAGCATTATTATCATCCGGCATATACGACAACGTGGTTATGAGCATCCGTCGTCCGTCTGTTTGTCCGCACAAAGTCATATCTGGAGCACTATTGCAGACAGATACATTCACACAGTTTTATATTGAAAACATTGCACACTTGATCTGATTATTAACATATTTAAAGATCATACATGGTCAGGTGACCTCGTTGAAAATACCTTAATGTCATATAGAGCATTATTGTTGACAGAGAGTCGCCCAACCAGTGTATAACTGTATGTATTATCTCTGCCGTGATATAGTAGATATAGTCATAACCAAACAAACTCAAAACTCTGAAAAGGTCTTACTCACCCTCCTCCCCTAGCAACAGATACTCTAGTCTAAGACTGAAATGGTCAATAATTTGGCTCAACATTATTGACACATCACAAGTTTGTTGACTATTTATCTATTGCAAATAACACAAACCAAACGTAATAAAGATAATGGGGTTTCTGCAATCTCCTGATGACATCTTTGACTGCGAAACTTGGGTTACATACGTAATGGTCAAACAAACCTTTACTCTTTTCCATCCATCTTTTATGACTTTCTAGATAACTTTGACGTCTTTCTAACCACCGTACACAACTTTTCTTCTAATTTTCCAATTACTGTTCCCGACATTCCAACTATCCTTTCCGACTTTTCAACCAACTTTTTTGATTTTACATGCAACTTCCACGACTTTCAACCCAGCCTTATTGACTTTCCATTCAGCTTCTACGACATTTAACCAACACTTTTGCATTTCCAACTAACTTTTTTGAATTCCTAATCATATTCACGACTTTCCATCCAACGTTTTTAACTTTCCAAAACTTCTTCGACTTTCCAAATTTGCATACAATATTCTCGACATACCAAGTTGAACCTACTACTAGTATCCCGAGTTTCCAAGCAAATTTGTCGACGTCCGAACCAACATGTTTGACTCTCCAACCAACTTCTTCGACTCTCAATTTTTTTTTTTGTGTTTTCAACCAATTTTTTCTTATTCAAAACAACCTCTCGGACTTTCGACCCAACATTTCCTCCCGTCCTTTACGACATATAATTTGCAGAAAATAAAATATTACCTTATTGTTGAAATTGTGTTGATTAGGAACAAAAATTGAAGTATAGATGTATGCCAGTATTCATGGCTTGTCTTTGTACCATCTTTGAACACAATTGCTGTAGGATTGTCCGAGAACAAAATCAACACGTCTGCTAGTCGGCCATTTTGAATCAAGCCGTAAAACAAAATTGGGTGCATCAGTAACACACAATGAGGGATGTCAATACGAAGTTTGATTGAATTCAGTGAAAACATGCATGCATGAAAAAAACGACTGCTTTTCGGAATAACAAGACATGAATGTCACAGTCCCCGTTATATAATTATAAAATACTCATATTAAAATAATACATGGAACATCTGCAAACAATTGAATTAATATGTACTCTATGTTAGTACAACTCATCATAAAGTGATTTCCCTTAATCTGATAACTGAAAACTTTCATTGACCCGGGTCCAAAATCTCAGAGTACAAGTGCAACCAAATTATGTCTCATACATGCTCAAGAAACTGCATTCATAAATCTGAGTAAACCTTGATGTATCTTTAATAACAACTTGACTTCTTTGTTAATTCAGGTATATTACCAGGACCTGGGTCTGTTTCATTATCACCACTATAATTCCCATCAAAATGTAACCCTGACACCCCTCTAGTTTCCACTGAGATTGTTAATGATATGACTCATCTGTCACTGATTCAGATCAAGGACATGACCAGGTCATGACATCACTAAAAACCTTAGCATTACAATCTAAGCTAATTATTTATTCTGAGCATGCTCAGTTGCTCTGTCAGTGCAGTCGGGAGAGATAATTTTGGATGAAATTCTTGAAAAAAGACCCAAAGGATTTTCAGATCTGGACAAAAAATTATGTGCATATTCGGCAGAGACTTGTTCATCAACCTGCCAAGTTTCATCGATATCTGCTGCAGAATTTTTGAGAAAATGTTAAAGATGTCACAGACGGACAATTTAAATAAGAATTAATAGTCTGCCTTTCAGGCTGTGCCTGAAACGGGGACTAAAAACCAAATTGACATGTATACGTCTGTTCTTTGTACAAACTCACAACAAAAGGATAATGCCAAAAATAAATAGACCAAAGTTTATTTTATTTTAATACGTATATTGAACACACCAGAATACGCCCACTAAACAGAAAAATCCACTACTGTAAATACTTTGTCCTGAATGGATGATTTGGTGAAAATTATTACATGTACTAAAATATGTTTGGATATTTAGAGTACTAACAAATTCTCACTTCCGGTCCGGTTAGACTTAAAATACACCATGAATATTCACTTTAAGATTTAATTTTTGGTATATGTTGGTTCTTGGATATTTCATTACAATTTCATGTTTCCGAATAATCAGATATTTATCCCGGAGAACACAGTATACAAGGACTGGAAACTACACAGTGTAGTCAAAGATACTATGGTACATGTATACGTGAAATGTTAAAAACCTGTAGCTCCCAAACCCTAATATTGCTAAACTGTCAGTTTTATAACATTCTCAACTCCGATGAAAAAAACAAGTTTCATCCACTCACCGTGAAAGCCAATCACTGCAAAGCTACTAGTTTCTAGCTAAAATAAAGTATTTCACTGTAATAACAAATGTCTTATTCAGAGAAGTAAAAATTGATCGTTTGGATTTCGGGGAGGGGGGTATGATGTATATGTGGGGAGTGATCTAGAGATCACAGAACACCAACTTACGTAAAATACTTGAGTATTTCTATCCCAAATTGGTTTACATGATGGGTATTTTGGTAATCTCCTTTAAATGCCCAAATATTAGCTACTGACAAGCTTTACCGGTACCTTGTTTCCTCCATGATTTTTCCAATTATTGTAGTTACTTGTGGATACTGACGCAAGGTAAACAAGTGAATTTACAGACATATGAGCAGCATAACAATGTTAAAACTTCTACTAAAAAGTCAACTTAGCTGTCTAATATTTTTGCATAGCTGATGGACCCAATTACAGTCACGCACTGGAGGAAACAGTGGTTGGCATTGGCTAAGGAAAGCCCAAACTCTTCAGCCATTTTAACTATGATTACTCAATACAGTAACTAGAAAGATGTACATGTTAGGTGTACGGTTATAAGGCACGAGAACAATATCTCTAGATGTGCTCACGTTCAACGGTTGTCATGTTGGAAACGGCATACCTAAAATGAATAGTTATGAATATAATAGTGAATCTTCCAAATGAACATTGAATACAATGGCATTTTTGGTACTTAAGCCTGAGCTAAGCGTTCAAGCACACTTCGTTAGGCCATGCTGAGGTTCTGGACCAAGTCCTAAAATGGGCAAGAGTGATCCGTGCTTAACATTTCTTAGCCTGTGCTAAGCGTACATTTTTCATAGCACAGACTAAGATATTTGATCTCTTAGCCCATGCTAATGGACTGTGTGCATGAACCCTACTCTAGAGCAATTATTGTTCATAATCTCACAAATAAACAATGGTAATGACATGATATATGATGATTTTAACTTAAAAAGTCTGTCATCATTTTTTAAATCTTCTTTGTCAACTTTGGAGGAAGACACAAGACATTGACGTGTGAATAGAACAAGATAGTAGATATTTTATTTGTCAACTCTACAGGATAAAACAAACGTGTTGATGATTATGATGCGAATATGATAAGATGTAATAATATTAACAAACATTTTAATTCAAGTAAAATAAGAAATATGGAGTGTGTTTTCAAGATGAGCTTATCAAATTACTAAAATCAGACAAAAATTTAAAATAAATACAAATCAATTACTTCATGGACATTGAGTAATCTCTATTAATTATTTCAATGTACTTCTTGGATAATATACACAGTATTTCAAAGTACATTAGCAGGGTTGAAAAAGAGAAAAATTTTACTATAAGCAAATAACACTTACATACACACCTTGAGATACAATAGATATTTGAATACGTACATAGCTACACACATAATTTACAAAAATAGTCACTTTCAAGATAAAATGTTTTAACTTACTTCTGTTAAACTTAATAAAACATTAGTCGTACTCTCTCCTCCATGGCAGGGATTGTGACAGAAAATAGTGGATTCGGGTGTGTCTTATCAATCATAATCTATGCAGAATAAATGTTAATATCTGTGGGCACAATACCTGCTAGGAGTTCAATGACAAAACACACTGTGTGTGTGTGTGTGTGTGTGTGTGTGTGTGTGTGTGATTAAAACACAAGAATTTTATGAATGAATCATGAATAAAATTTGACTGTCTATGTAGTACATTAACAATTGTGATATGATATAGTATAATGGATAAGCAACAATCTAACATTAGGAAAATAAATAAATGAAATTAGAAAACATCAGTCATTGTTGCTATCTTAGTTTAATCTTTGATTACATGCACAGTAATTACTGTGAATTATTTGTTGATTTATATTGAAAGTTTTTTTTCTGTTTAAGTTTTAAACTTTTTTTTTATCACATCAGCTTTGTATTTTTTGTTTTGGTTTACAGCTTTCAGTTAATCCTCCGGGTGACATTTCCTTATATTTGTCACTAAATTTCATCATTTTTTTAAGACCAGACAGTTTCAGATGTTGATTTTTAGTTTTTGATGAAAAGGTTTGTCAATTTTTATAAACGTTTTTATGTGGGGGAGAAACAGACTAAACAACATCATTTGTAGCATAGTGCCAAAACGAGACAATACTCATAAGGTTAAAAAGTTTCAAACACGTTTTCTAGTTATTAAAAAGACATTTGGGCTAAGACACTGAAGCTGACTGGTGCTCACTAAGTGTAATATTCATTACATAACGACTTTTATCTCCCAAATGTAACCGTGATAAACGTTGGATTAATAGTCTCAAAGCAAAATATACAAGCACATGAAGAGAAATCCACCAAGATCTTTTCACAAAGTTTAAAAGATGTATATAATATAAAACCCCAACAAATTAATACTAAACTTGGCAAAAACCGAAAATACAAAATAAAAATCTATATATATCGTAAGTTTCTCTCTTTTTTTTTTGTGCTAAAATCTTTAAAAACCATACATTGGCTAATGATAAAACTTGACCATAAATGAAACTTCATAAAAAAAAAAAAAAAATTCTGAAAATTGCTAATCCTAGGGTATGCCTAGTTGAAAGATTAAGACAAGGTTGATTATCGGAGACAGTAATGCATGAGTGGCTCAATTAGACTTATTGCAAATATAAAAAATTTTTCAAACATATCTTGTGACACACTTTTGTATCAAAATTACGCGATGGGCAGTTATTTTTATTTACAAATCCACTGGAGTACAAGCTTACTCCATGTTCTAACTTTGTTTCATCAGAATGAACTATTCCATACATAAGGGGTGGGTAGGGTTGCTAGAGGGGAACCTAGAGGCATATTTTTCCCTATATAGAATTTATATCAAAGTGTTGCAATAGATGAAGACAAGACAAACCAAAGAAAATTTACCCCCCAATAATTGGTCAGACACCCCTGATCCAAATGGTTTGACCCTCGCCAACAGAACACCTTCTTCTGCAATGTATGTACAAATTTAAAGCTAGGCAAGTGACAACACTAGAGGACGCTATGGCATGAGTATTGAGCTACGGCTCAGCACATAAAGTTGGCATGATACATGAAAATGGGGATAGAGTTTATCTGCTGACAGCGGACACATCACTACTACTGCTACTACTCTTAGTGTGGTTTCCTGTACTGTTATTATGACCGCCACTTTCCCTGTGACCGCTATTTTGACCAACTTCATTACCTACAGGAATGAAGGCGTCAAGGAGTGCTTTTACTCTGTCCGGCGTTGGCCCCCATTTCTCAAAGCCGGCATCATTCTGTAGGAAGAATGCCAATGTTCCATGCACTGCTCTGTAGTAAAGCTCGTGACTACGACAAATAAAAGATAAGAGATTCAGTTAACATAAACACAAATGAAAGCTGGTTCTAACACTGGTATCCTGGTATTGTGTTGGTCTAGATTGTCCCGAGATTGTGCGTTTCTTTACTATAGTGACATGTTATGCCACAAGCAATGCAAAAATAATAAAATCGGTATTATTGGTGCAAAAACTACAATTTTAGCTTTCTAACCATAGCATAACACTGTCAGAAACATACTCAACAACAATTTTTTTCAGCACATTTGTGAATTTTGTTTTATTTCCAAAATGGCAATTTTGAATTTGTTATCCCCCCTCCCCCAAATTAGCGACTTGGGTCATTTTTGCCTACAAGTTTATGTTGGTATCACTCACCTTGAACATGTATGTTGAGTTCCACTGCGATATTCATGTTCTAATGCTGGTATCAAACACTGCTTCCTCTTAAACCTAGCAAAACCCATCAAGTAATGTTATTAGAGTAAATATTCACTGAGAGGATTACATTGTTCACAATAATGAAAGATACAGATATTTTGTTAAGAATCAGCTAAGAATTCTTTAAACCGTTTTAAATTCACAAAAGACAAATTTTCTTGAATGAAAATTACAACATTTTGTAGCAGTAAAATTTCTTTGGGGTCCGATGACACATCAAAGGCATTTTAAGCTTTGTTATGTAATATTCGAACTCTAACGAGAGTTTAACAGTTGCTATATTAGCCATGTTTGAAACATCATATGTATTAACAAACAAGTATCAAAGTTATAAGAATTGTAATTTTCAAGAAGTCGAAAATGTAAAAAGTTGACATGAACGACGACGAAGGGCAATCACTCATATGATAAGCTCCGCTCAACAAATTCAACAAAGCAGCTAAAAAATGTCACTGGATGTGGCAAATCAGTTCAAAATTTTGTAAAAAAAAAAAATTTGTTTCAAAAGTCAGTATGAATCTAATTAAAAAACAAATAGCGTAATCTAGCTTCTAAACAATATTTAACTTTTCCTGTGATTTTCTATGATTTCTTTCTCCATTTCTGACAAACTGAAAGTTTTGAATTGTGTACAGGTCCTTAATCACAATGCTCCAATTAATATTGAACAAATTATGGATGTTTCATTTCAAGGTTTTTATTTCTCAATGGTGTAAGAGCATTGTATAAATGTTACCTGCTGGCTTCCATTCTAACTAATGCCGGAGTCGGTGGATCTCTCCATTCAGGAATAAATACTATAAATGACAAAGGATCTGTAGATTTATCCAGCAATGACTGCAGAAATAAAAAAAAATATCAATTAGATCTTAAACTTGAACATAATATATTCACTAATGCCAGACTCACTATATTGTAGGAAATGATGGTTATGTGGCTGAAATTTTATGTGGTCAAGGGCAACGGTCATATCAAATGTGAGCAATATACGAAAATCGTGTGGCTTTAGTAGGAGTCAGGATCATAGTGGCTGGAATTTGACGTGGGAAATATACAAAGGGTCATATGGATAAAATTAAGAAGATAAAACAATCTCTATTGTGGGATAGTAAACAAAACAAGTCAGCCATTTGAAAAAGTATTTAAAACAAGTGAACATGGATATGTGTGACATGTATAATGCTTTATATTATTGTCAAGACATGTCAGAGATACGATTCTTTAAAACATTTTTATTTGAATTGGCAACCAGTCATTTTGAATTAGACTGTTAAACAAACGCATGTAGAACACAATGTAAAGGACAAGGTATGTTAGAGTCACCAGTCAACCATTTTGAATGAAATCTGAAAAAAAAAAAATAATGGCTCAAATCTGGCAGAAATGCTGAATTTTAAATGCATTTCTTACTTTAAAATAGCCATCTTGAATGAGACAGTGAAACAAATGCATGTGCATAATACGTCTGAATTAAGATATGATTTAGATGTGAAGATTAAAATGATAGGTCCAGGTTTGTCTCGTTTTTTATCCAAGTGGAAACTTAGTAAAGACCATAATAGAATTAAAAGTTGAAAATCGTGATAATCTGGTGAGGTAATATTTTAGATGACTAGATGTAGATTTGCAAAATATAGATTAATTATTACCTCAAAGTGGTCAACCATAGCTTCCATCAACTCTTCACCAAAGGGTGGATTGGCTTCAAATGATCCACTCACAGGGTAAAAATCTAAAACAGGTCTAAGAATTATAAAACAAGTTTATTATCTCAATATAGCATACCATTGTCCCCATCAAATTTTCACTGAAAGGAGGAACAACTTCCAATGAGCCACTAGTAGGGTGATAATCTAAGAAAGGTCTGTGAAATGGACAACACACGCTCACATTGCTGTTTTGCATATTAATTTTTCTTTAATCCTGTCACTTGACATATGTGTCCTGTGCAGGTTTGTTATCTGGTGGATTAGGAAGGGTTATTAGTTTTGGTGGATTAAGAAGGGTTATTAGTTTGGGTGGATTAGGAAGGGTTATCAGTTTGGGTGGATTAGAAAGGGTTATTAGTTTGGGTGGATTAGGAAGGGTTATCAGTTTGGGTGGATTAGAAAGGGTTATTAGTTTG